AGAATATCATGTTTCAATAAGCTTAATCAATATAAACATAATCAATTAAGATTCTTCCATTATCAATCAACACACATCATGAAATCATAATTTAGTAATATGGGGAAATAATGGGTTCTTGGGGGGGAATTACATCATAAATCAACAATAAACCATCAATTCAATCATAATCCATCATAAAGTAATCATTGAAAGCGTTTTGAAAGAGAACCCATGACTTAGATTGAAACCCTAGGTTTTGGGGGAAAATTGGAAGCTATGAAATCAAGTTTTGAAGGGGCTATATGGGTGGAAAGTACCTATATATGAAAAGCCAACATACCTTATGTAGATTCCTCACAAAATTGAGCGGAAATATCAGTCCTTGGATCCTAGACCTTGGTTTCTCCTTCTTCTTCAATGGAGGTTTTAGTGAGAAAAATATTTGGGGGGGGAAGGATTTTATATTGGGGTCTTGTAAGAATGAATTAAAAGACTTAGTTTAGAGGTCTATTAGGTTTATATAGGTAGTTTAATTAGTGTTAAATGACCGTACTTAATTAATTAACCCTAAGCCCCTCCCTTAATCCCCAACTTAAAAACTAACTTACCAAAACTGTGTTCACCCACAAGACCTCACCCATGGATCGTGGGTGGGTCCACGGACCGTTCTGGTCAGTCGTGGGTGATGGTACTTGGACTAGAAAATGGGGGAAGATCCAGCCTTGACCCACGAGCCCCACCTATGGGGCGTGGGTCCACCCAAGGATCGTGGGTGGCTAACTACTTTTTGGGCTGTCTCATGACCCTCCTCAAGGACCCTTGGTTGGTCCTTGGGGGGTCATGCCTTGACGTCTACACCCAAAAACAATTTTATTAAGTACTGTAGGTTATTTTATGACTCTAACCTTTTTGTCGAACCCTAATTAGGCTATTAGTTTACACACTAGGTTGTAGCAAGGTTACTAGATTTTTTCTGGAATGTTACATTATCTCCCTCTTGGGAACATTCATCCTCCAATGACGATTTAGACACCAAACTCATTTAGAGACTCAAGACTAGCATCCCATCATGCATGAAACATCCAAATATACTTGTAAATTCAAATGCATTATTCACTATGTGCACTTATTCAAAGGAGGAAACATCAACTCCATCTCAAGACAAAATCAATGCAATACAAGGAAGTAGGAACTACATCTATCAACCCAATATGCATGAAATTCAACATTTCTCATGTTCATAGGAGGAACTACCTTCTCCAACTAAAAGCAAGCTCAACACAACAATATGGAGCTAATATGCCATTTCATCAAAAGCATAACAAAGCATGTTAATCAATTCACCTCATAAAGTCAAATATGCCCTCATCATACTAAAATGCACAATCAACATGAGGGACATATAAATCACAAAAAATCATTTTATACTAAACATAAATTCGTCAAGAACATGCATAACATAAGGAAATCATGAACAAACTCATATAATACATATGACTCCCCAAAACACTAAAACTCAAGAAGAACTACTTACGTCAAGCTTGAGTTGGAGTAAAAGGAAAAAGGTGAGGATATCGGGACTTCATATCGGCCTCGGCCTCCCAAGTAGGACCCTCAACTAGATGATTCCTCCATAACACTATTACGGAAGCTATTTCCTTATTTCACAACCTTTTGACTTGTCGGTCCAAGATCTCTACCGGAACCTCTTCATAGGAAATGCTCTCATCAACTCCCGAACCTTCTAAAAGAATGATGGTCATCGGATCACCAATACACTTCTTAAGCATAGAAACATGAAATACCGGATGAACCGGAGTCAACTCATTTGGCAAGTCTAACTCATAGGCAACTTTCCCAAAACATTTCAAGATTTGATATGGGCCTACATACTGGGGACTTAGTTTCCCTTTCTTGACAAACCTCATCAGACCTTTCATAGGTGAGATTTTCAAATAGACCCATTCATCAACTTCAAATTCAAGATCCCTTTTTCAAACATTAGCATAAGACTTTATTGCCGACTTTGAGCCATCCTCAACCTCTTTCTAATGAGTTGGACTTTCTCAATAGCCTCATAGACAAGTTCGGGACCAATTAGAGCGATGTCACCTAATTCAAACAAACCAACCGGAGACCTATATCTCCTACAATACAAGGCGTCAAAAGGAGCCATGGCAATACTTGAGTGGTAACTATTGTTGTAGGCAAACTCTACTAATGGTAGATGGTCATCCCAATTACCTTTAAAGTCTATAGCACATGCCCTCAACATGTACTCTAAGGCTTGAATGGTGTGCTCCACTTGACCATCCATTTGAGGGTGAAAGTCTGTGCTAAGCTTGACCTTAGTACCAAGCCCTTTTTGGAATGCGTTCCAAAAATGTGAAGTACATTTATTACTCCGGTCCGAAATAATAGATAAGGAACCCCACACAACTTCACTATCTCATTGATGTACAATTTATCAGTCTTCAACCAAAAAAGAAATCTTGACGAGAATAATCGGATTTTGTCATTCTATCGACAATGACCCAAATAGAATCATGTTGCCTTCGAGTACGAGGCAAACCCACAATAAAATCCATGTTCACATCCTTCCACTTCCAAGTGGGAATATCTATATCTTGAGACAAGCCTCCTAGTCTTAGATGTTCAGCCTTAACTTGTTGACAACTCAGACACTAGGCTACAAAACCCGCTATATCCTTCTTCATACCATTCCACCAATAGACTTCTTGTAGATCACGGTTCATCTTGGTGGCTCCCGGATGAATAGAATACCATGAACCATGAGATTATTCTAGAATTTTCACCCTCAAGCCATCAACATTCGAAACACAAAATCGACCTTGGTACATAAGCACCCCACCTCTCCCTTTGGAGAAAGCCTCAACGAACTTGTTGAGTACCAACTCTTTCAAGTCCATTAATATGGGAGCAAGGCCTTGTTTAGACTTCGCATCAACAACAAAGGATGATTCAGAACAATTATGGACCATGACACCACCCTTGGTGGTATCTACTAGTTGAACACCTAACCAGGCTAACCTATGCACAACACGAACAAATACATTCTTTTCATCCTCTACATGAGCCACACTACCTATGGAAAATCTACTATGGGCATCCGCGACTACATTCGCTTTCCCGGGGTGGTAAAGGACACTCATATCATAATCCTTCAAGAGTTCTAGCCACCTTCTTTGTCGGAGATTCATTTCTTTTTGGCTAAACACATATTGAAGACTTTTGTGATTGGTGACCACATCAACATGCACCCCATAGAGACAATGTCTACATATTTTTAAAGCAAACACAACTGCCGCTAATTCAAGATCATGGTTCAGGTAATTCTTTTCATGGACCTCGAGTTGCCTTGAAGCATAGGCAATGACTTTACCATGTTGCAAAAGGACACATCCCAAACCCATTCTAGAGGCGTCATAATAAACAAAAAAACCATTGGTACCCTCCGGTAAGGTCAAAACCGGAGCAGAAGTACGTCTATCTTTCAACTCTCTGAACCTTTTCTCACAAGCCTCCGACCACTCAAACTTAGCTTTCTTTTGAGTCAAAGACGTCAATGGGGAAGCAATGGAGGAAAAACCCTAAAAAAACCTTCTATAGTAACTGGCTGAACCCAAAAAGCTTCTAATATTGGTAGGAGTTAGATGTCTAGGCCAATCCTTGACCGCATCCGTCTTCTTAGGATCTACATCAATACCCTTGCTCGACACAATATGACCAAGGAAGGCTACGGACCTTAACTAAAACTCACATTTGATAAACTTTGCATACAATTGGTGGTCTTTAAGGACTTGCAATACAATACTCAAATGGTCCATGTGTTCATTTTCACTCCTTTAATAGATCAAAATATCATCAATGAATACGATCACAAACATATCAAGGTAGTGTCTAAACACCTTATTCATTAGATCCATGAATGTCGTCGGGGCATTAGTTAGACCGAAGGACATTACTAGGAACTCATAGTGACCATATCTTGTTCGGAAGGCCGTCTTAGGAATGCCAACCCCTCTCACCCTTAGTTGATGGTAACCCGAACGAAGATCTATTTTGGAGAAATAGTTAGCCCCTTGAAGTTCATCAAACAAGTCATCAATTCTTGGAAGGGGATACTTATTCTTTATGGTCACCTTGTTTAATTGGTGATTGTCAATACACATTCTAAGGGACCCATCCTTCTTTCTAACAAACAATATCGGAGCACCCCATGGAGAGATACTCGGTTGAATAAAACCCTTGTCTAGTAAATCCTTCAATTTGCTCCTTTAACTCTTTCAACTCCGCCGGAGCCATTCTATAAGGAGGAATGGAGATAGGTTGTGTATCCGGCAAAAGATCAATGCCAAAATTTATTTCCCATTTGGTGGACTGTCGGGCAAGTCATCGGGAAAGACTTCCGAAAATTCATTCACCAAGTGGACCGACTATAGTGAAGGGATTTCGGAATCCACATCCATCACCCTAACAATATGGTCAATGCACCCTTTGGAGATCATTTTCCTAGCCTTGAGACAGGAGACAAATTGACCTCTAGGGATAGAATTTCCCCACTTCCACTCTAAATTAGACTCATTTGAGAATTGAAACTTAACCACCCGAGTCTTATAATCAATAGAGGCATAACATGTATGCAACCAATCCATACCCAAATTTACATCAAAGTCTAACATGTCTTACTCTATAAAATTAACCAAGGTAACTTTATGGGACAAAGAAATACGACAATTCCTATAGAATCTATTTGCTACTACCGAGACACCAACCGGGGTAGACACCGAAAAAGGCTCTATTAACACTTCGGGGAGTATTTCAAATTTCATTGCCACAAAAGGTGTAACAAAGGACAAAGTGTCACCGGGGTCTGAAAATGCATATACATCAATGGAAAAGACTTGTAACATCCCCATCACTACATCCAGGGAACTCTCTTGGTCACGTTCAGATTGAAGAGCATAGAAGCAGTTTTTCTTGGGAGCATCAGAATTTTAACAACTAGGAGGAACTTTCTTTCCCTCTCTTCCTTGAACTTTAAGCATGAGACAATCTCTCATCAAATGACCACTATTCCTACAACTATAGCAACCTTCCGTGCTAACAAGGCACTTATCATCATGTTTCTTGCCAAACTTGGCACAAGTAGGCCTTACCATAGAAGATCCACCACTATTGCCTCCTTGAGTCTTAGGGTTAGACGCCCTATCTTTGTTGTCCCTTAGAGCACTAGAAAATCCTTTATTGGAAAACCTTCTCTTGAAACTTGCTCTACCTTGACCCTCAAATTTACCCTTGGAAGAATTCCCCTCATAGGACCTTGCCCTCTTCACCTCTCGATTCTTCTTCCTAAGCCTTGACTCATCAACTAGTTAATCATACACCATTATACGTGAGATATCCATATTATCTTGGAGCATTGCCACACGAAATTCTTCTTCAATCGAGTCAGACATACCTATCACAAACTGACACATCTCATCCCTCGGATTCGACATCAAAGACGGAGCATACTTGGACAACTTAGTGAATTTTAGAAAATATTCTTGAACAGTCATACCTCCTTGTCGAAGGTTGATAAATTCCTCCACCTTTGCTTCCCTCTTATCTTGGTGAAAGAACCTATCAAGGAATGCTTTCTTGAACACCTCCCAATCTATGTGACCCGCTTCTACCGGCCTATTATTCTTCCATTGAGTATACCACACTTCGGCGACATCCTTAAATTGGTAAGCAGCTAGCTCCGCTTTCTCTATAAAAGTCACCCCCATAGCATCAATTATCTTGTAGACCTCTGCCAAAAACTCTTGAGGGTCTTCACCCACTTTTGAATCAAAGAACATAGGAGGGTTCATTCTTATGAAATCTCTCAACCTTAAATCCATGTATAATAACGGGTAATAGAAGATTTACATTTAAGAATCATTCCCTAATTATTTTCCCTTGAAAATCTAGTTCAAATCGCCACCCTAAAGCTCCCAAAACTCAAAAATGGTGAAACATGATTGAAACCTTGATTTTTTAAAACATTCTGTCGAGGTCACTAATACTCATCACGATCGTGACCTCAAGTAACGCAATCAAGATGAGTAAGACACTCAACTCAATAATGTTGACCATCGTGATAGTGGTAAGGCCCACATGATCATGACGCACTCTAACTAATGTTATGCGATCGCAATAAGGGATCCTCACGATCGTGATGTCTAAAATGGGCATGCACCTAAACCAGATACCAGCAAAATAGCCAAACTCAAAATTGATGAAAGAACCCTCAAGATTCGTTTAGAATTACATACACACAAGCCACACATGCAAATCAAATATACTCAAATTCCAGACTTAATGGAACCGTCAAAATATGAATATGCGGTCTCCTTGACTCGAGATCCGTGAGAACCACAAGAAACTAACACAACGCCTAAAAATTCTAAAACAAACATGGGACCACTAAAAAATTAACCAAGACCTCACCTAGGCCAAAAGTCATCCCCCGAATCTAATGGAAATCTTAGAATTCTGATACGAGCATTTTAACCTCAAATATATATCAAAGTCAACCTTAAAGCTAAACTTTCTTAATTTCAGAACTTAAGACCTCAAATACTCATGTAACACCTCAGAAATCTAGTAGTCTAAGCATAGGGTAAAGTGTCAATTCTTGAGCCAAAATGGAAGCTCATGAGGACACATACGGGCCGTGAAGGGCACCACGAGTCATGGTGCTACCCATGGAAGCTCACAGTGGCTAGGAAAGCTATTCTCACCTCCCACGACCACCATGATTCCTAATGATGGGGACCAATGGTCGTAAATAACCCCATGCTAATTATCCAAATTCCATGTGTGAACATCAACAAAATAGAGTATAACATAATACTGTCATGACCCGGGGTTACCCCCTAGAAGTAACACGGCGCACTTGACCCCTGAAGGGGTATCGTACAAGCCCTTAGCATAATCATTACCTAAAGACATAGAATAATGCGGAAAAATTAAAAACAAATCTTTACAATCGAAGTCATTTTATAAAACAAAGGGGAGTCTAGACATTGTCTCATTTAATCATCTAATACAATCGAATAGGTACAATACCCTTACAATAGATTCTAAATGGAAATACTAAAAGAAACTCAACGTAAAATACTTGTCCTCAAAGCTTGAGGACTCACCAACTATGCTTGGGGAAACTAACTAATCCAAGCTTGAACCAAGAATACCACCACTAAGGACCAATCCCTACATTTGTAAAAAACATAGAAATATGGGTTAGCACAAACTGTACTAAGTATGGTAGCCATGCATAAAAACATTTAAAACATGCTTAAAAGGGACTTTTTGTTTGAAACCATGCTATATGCCATTTTTGAACATCATATTTGAAATAGTTAGAGAATGTAGCTCATAAGACAAACCATACAAACTTCATCATAACATAGAGGATATCATCAGTCACAATTATAGTCTCCAACACAACATAATGCATACTCCAATCTTCACAAAACATAGTTCACATATATAATTCAATGCCACGATCATATCATCATAATAAACCATCACATAAGTAACCTTGAGCTCTACTTGTGCAATGCATAGATAGAATCCCATAATCCTATCTATACTAATTATTACTACTAGGCCACCATGATCATGCATAACATACCTTGACCTTATTCATAGCAAACATTCAGAAACAAGGAGACATTCATGCTAATATCTTAAAATAAATAAAGTCACTCATATCAACAATCCATATCATGCATACATAATTCATATATCTCCATAGCATAAGGAAACCACACTATAACCCCTTCATAAGTCTACTTGTGCTATGTACAAGTGAAGTCCCATACCCCCACTCACACTAAGTAAAGCTCATGAGGAAGTCATTAGTACAGTCCATGTTCATATTCATAATAAAGCATACATTCATAATCATCATATCATAGGAGAGACATATCATGCCCACTCTCAAAATCTAGTTGTGCAATGCATGAATGAAGTCATATACCCCCATCCATACTAAGTAGAACTTTTGGAGGAACCATAGTACCTAACTCATGCTCTTATCATAATTCATATTCTTATCATATAGAGATAACCATACTCATTACATATACATAAGGATAGTCATACCATAACAACAATCCAATCAACATATACCATACCTTCATGTCTTACCATAGCATAATGAACCAACCCACAATCCCTTTCAAAGCTTACTTGTGCAATATAAAAGTGAAGTCCCATACCCCACTCCTACTAAGTAAGCTTATCAAGAAATCACAAGTACAGTTCAAGTCATATTCATTATCTTATTACATAGGAAGAAGTGCATTAACCAACATATACCATGTGAGCTACATGGAATACGGTGTCATATAAACCCACATAGAAAAAAAGTGTCCTACTTGCCTAAGGTAGAACTAGACATATATAGCTATAATGTGGATCCACTAGCTAATACCTATGCGGGCACATAGTTATGGGATAGGGAGATTGCTTCTAGAAACCTGACCTATTTTACTAGCGGGAGAGTTTCCATCTCATGATAGCATATGTAGAAGACCCAACCTAAAACTAGCGGGAGAGTCTCTACCTCATTTTCCATATCCGCTCGGTGCTAAGCATTATTCTCCAACTTATACATATTTATGGTGAATTACAATTTCATATATGAAGGAGTACATTACCCTTCATTCAACCCAACTCATAACATAGCTCATTGATTCAACATGGTGAGAACTACCTTTCACCTTAGAATCATCATATAATCATCCAAGACAATTCATACATAATCATGTGTAGTAGTAAAGGAAGCTAGTCTTTCAACAATACCATAATTCACATATTAGTCATTAGATCTTCACCATTCAAGTGGAACATAACTTCATACATAAATACATGAAAAGTAAGCATCTCCACCTTCCAAGTGGATCAATCCCTTCATATATAAAAATCTTAAACATAGAGTACCTTCATACATTGCCTTCAAAGCTATACTTCAAGATTCAACATTTACAATTTACCCTTCAAGGGTCATAGATCATGTCTTGCAATCACCCTTAGAATTACTACTTTAAGCATGAATCAAACAAGACTAATTGACTAAATTAACATAGATACTATTCTAAGTATTCACATTGCATGACCAAACCCATCTCAATTTCATAAAGTTCGGGTCATGGGGAAGCACATGGGTTCATGGGGAATTTCACAATAAAAACCCTCAATAAACATCAAATTCATCATAATATAGAATAATTAACATAACGAAATCGTTTTCAAGAAGAACCCATGGCTAGAATTAAAACCTTAGTTTTTGAACAAATTCCCAATTTCAAAAATTAGTGTTAAGGGCTTCATGGAGAAATAAATTCCATAAATGAAGGTTCCCATACCTTAATTGAAGCTTTTCCACGAAATTGGAGTGAAAACCTTGGAGCTTGAACCCTAATCTTGAAGCTTTTGGTGTTCTTCAATGGAGGAACTTCTAGAGAGAGAAATATTGGAGAAGAGATGATTTTTTTATTTTGAAGTGAGTGTTTGTGAAAGTGATTAATTTTGGGGATATTTTATTATAAAAGGACACATATAATTAATAAATGTGAGGCAAATAATGATTAAAAATATATATTTTTGACCTCACATCACACTGCCTAGTGTACTAGGGCATCCCCATGCGTGGTGGTCCCCATTCGGTGGGGTCCTCTTTTGTACTTATACCCTCATGTGTAAAGCCCATAAAAACAAACTAAGTAACTGTTTAAGGGACCTTTTAAGGGTCGTGGACTGCTTCAAGTCCCTTGAACCCATGCGTGAACTGCCAACTTGCCCAAAATGGCTAAGGCAAAGTTCACGAGGCCCTTCAAGGACAGTGAACTGTTTCACCGCCCTTGAACCCTCTCTTGAAAATATACTTAGTCAAAATTGGCTAAGGCATTGGTTCGAGCAAGCTTCTAAGGAAGGTGAATCCTTTCACCTTCCTTGAACCCTCCCTTAAGCATACTTAGCCAAATTTTGGACCATTTTATATTTCCAATTTATACATAAACTTATAAGGTTCATACGTTAGGCTCTAGTTTTACCTATCGATTTTCCAGATGTTACATTATCTCCCTCTTGGGAACATTCGTCCTCGAATGACGAGTTAGACACCTTATGAAATTTAAAGACTCATGGCCAGCAGCCCAACAAGCATAAAATATCAAAATAATACGTCACATAAAGGAGGAAACTTCAATTCCATTTCAACATAGTCAATGCAAACAAAAGGAAGTAGGAACTACTTCTATCAACATTATATGCATGAAATTCTAATAATTGGTTATTTTCAAGGAGGAACTATCATCTCCTAGTCATAACATGCTCAATATACTCTCATGGAGCTCATATGCGAATTCTCATTTTCTAATAACATTTATTAAAGGAGGAATCTCTCAACTCCAAACTAAAGCATGCTCATGTATTCTTCGCATGAAGAACAATAGGTAACTCATAGTCAATGCTCCACAACATGAGAAAAGCAATTTACTAAAACTCATCTTCTTCTAAAAACACAAGTCTTCACCAATATGCACAAAACTCATCAATTCGCATAAACATGAGAGGAACTATCTTCTCATACTTAAGACATGTTTAACACCTCAATATGAAGCTAACATGCCATAACATAAAGAACTCTCCTAAGCATGTTTGTGAAGTTTCATCATGAAGTCAAGTATGCAACATTATAATGCAATGCACAAACTAGGAGAAAATTCCAACTCCATCTCAAACATACTCCATGCAACACAAGAAAGTAGGAGCTACATCTACAAACTTATTATGCATGAAAACTTCAACATTTGTCATTTACATTGGAGGAATTACCTTCTCCAACTCA